TAACTAAAATTCTCTACTTGAGTTATTATATGATCTTGAATTTTCTAGATATAACATACTTTTAAACTTTTTTTTCAAAAACCAAAATTTTAGTTTTGTCATAGTTAATTTTTAATTGATTTTCTTGGCAATACTTAACTAGTACCTCAAGTAGGTGTTTCAGGACCAATCTAGCATGTGAAAGAACAGCGTCATCTGCATATAACAAGGCACACATTTTCCTTTTGGCTAATGATGGGTAATGGATCTCAATCTGAAGTAATGTGGTCTCCAGATCATTGAGATAAATTTTAAATAGTGTAGGGGCCAGGATGCAACCTTTTCTCACTTTTTATTATTATTCATTATTCATTTATACAATTATTCATTGTAATATTGTCTATAACTGAATATTTTCTGTTTCATCTAACTTGCATTATACACCTTGATATAATGCCCATATCAGGTATGTAAGACACCTGTCAGGAACCAAATTTTCTAATAAAGGGCCCCACTAATCTTGATTTTGTTTAAGGAGTTCAACGGGTACATTGTCCTGGCCGGGAACCTTGCCAGATTTTACTTTTGATATAAGGTTAATCATCTCTTCCTCTAGCACTGGTTCCCATTGTGGAAGGGTAAGTAAATTTAATCTTATGTTATTTGCTATATTTGTGACAGGTTGCTCCTTCTCTGAAACATTGATTTAACATATTTTTCCAGGTTTTGTATGATATACAGCTATCAGGAACAGAGGGAGCAGTGAAAGCCCTGGAAATTAATTTCCAAAAGTCTATCATGTAATATTTATTAAATATTTTATTTGTTAAACTGTTTTATCCAATACCAAGTCTAGAATATATCTGTAACTTACTTTTGGTTCTTTGGGCTATAAATAAAAACTGACTATTAAATAATATAAGAGAGAAATCAAACTTTGCAATATTAAATGCCACCAAGGAGTCTAAGAGGACCAGGACAGATGCATTACTCCGATCCCATTCATTAGAATGATCAAGACTATTTCTATCCCATGACCAAGATTGCAAGTAATGAAGGTAATTCACTTCCCCTAGGATCCTCTGTAATGGAACCCCTATCACTCTCTTAACAACTTTTCCTACACTTGGAGACTAGGCTAAGGTTGGAGACTAA